AAAATGCTATTCTAGGCAAACAGATCTTGTTGTCTTGACAACACAGATTGCCAAAAAAAGTAAGTAAACAAAGTGTCTGGATCTTATTTTAAAAGAAAACTTCAACGATACGAGAGAGGAGAGACTGAAAAGCAAGACTGTACAATGATCTCACCTGCTAGGATGGCACCCTAACCCCCAGCCAAGGCTCAGTCCTCCTTTCTGACCCGCTCTGTGCTCCACTCGTGTTGTTTACAGGAAGGTCCCTCCTCCGGAACCTTGACCATCCAGATCCAGTAAGCAGGAATAATCAGTTCATTTGCTGTACTTTATTCATGAAATTCATGAATTCTCTCCTATTCAACAGGTCAGCAGAAAAACACTGTGGGAGGAAAAAAAAAAAAAAAGACCTGGAGAAGTTCCCTTTCAATAGGCAGTGAGATTAATAGGTTTATTTACTTATTTATTTATTTGGAGAGGTTTTTGCTATAGGGTGCGGGCACTCACCAGAAAGACAGAGAGACAGAGAGACAGAAAGTGAGAAATCACCCCCCAGGGAAGATGGCCATGACACAATCCCTTCTCCTCCTTTCTCCTCTCGGGATCTTGGGCATGCACACACATGCGCCCAGGGTGATTTGAAGCCATTGGGTCCGGGACTTGAACCGCAGTCGACTACATGGGAGTCCAACGACATAGCCATTATGCTAACCACTGGTCCCGAGATTAATATGTTTATTAAACCCAAACATAAACAACATCATAAAAGAAGAGATGAGGAGCTCTTCATTTTTCTGGACATCTGCAAAAAAGGAAAAAACAAAAACAAAAACAGCGTAACCACCCAAAAATGTCAGGACAAAATAAAAGACCAAGAAGCTTCTCCCACCTGGGGCTGAGTCCTGGGTCTGCTCTTTACCAGTGAGGAGAAGCAGGTCAGGCCAAACTTTTAGGGCTAAGTTTCCTCACTTGTAAAATGGGGCCAATATTTAGTCTACAAGCAGTAGAGGTGGTATATGTGAAGGTAGAGAGAGATAGAGACAGAGAGACAGAAAGAGAGAAATCACCCCCCAGGGGGGATGGCTATACCACAATCCCTTCTTCCCCTTTCTCCTCTTGGGATTTTGGGCACACACACACATCTGCCCAGCATGAGTTTTAAGCCACCAGGTCCAGGACTTGAACTGGGAGTCCAGCGACATAATCATTATGCCATCTGCAAGTCCCTGTCTCTTGTCGAATTTTAAAAGTAAATAATAAATAAAAGTAAAATAAATAATTATCTTATTTAAAATATTTATTTATTTAATTCCATTTGTTATTATTATTCTTTTTAAATTTGACCAGACAGAGACAGAAAGAGAAAGGGAAAATGAGAAAGCAAGCCACCAGGTCTGGGACTCAAACCACAGTCGGCCATGTGGGAATCCAGTGCCTTTAACCATGCCACTTGCTGGCCCCTAAAATAAATAATTCTCTCTCTTTTTTTTTTTTTTTTTTTGCTTTAGGGCACATTGCCCCGTCAGACCAACAG